AAAGCTGCCCAGCAGAGAAGGACCTGGGGGTGTTGGTCGGCAGCCGGCTGAACGTGAGCCGGCTGTGTGCCCAGGCGGCCAAGAAGGCCAATGGCGTCCTGGCCTGTATCAGAAACAGCGTGGCCAGCAGGAGCAGGGAAGTGATCGTGCCCCTGTACTCGGCACTGGTGAGGCCGCACCTCGAATACTGTGTTCAGTTTTGGGCCCCTCACTACAAGAAGGACGTCGAGGTGCTGGAGCGGGTCCAGAGAAGGGCAACGAGGCTGGTGAGGGGTCTGGAGAACAAGTCTGATGAGGAGCGGCTGAGGGAACTGGGGTTGTTCAGCCTGGAGAAAAGGAGGCTGAGGGGAGACCTCATCGCTCTCTACAACTCCCTGAAAGGAGGTTGTAGCGAGGGGGGTGTCGGTCCTTTCTCCCAAGTAACAAGCGACAGGACGAGAGGAAATGGCCTCAAGTTGTGCCAGGGGAGGTTTAGATTGGATATTGGGAAAAATTTCTTTACTGAAAGAGTGGTTAAACATTGGAACAGGCTGGCCAGGGAAGTGGTTGAGTCCCCATCCCTGGAAGTATTTAAAAGACGTGTAGATGAGGCGCTTAGGGACATGTTTAGTGGGTGGTGGTGTTGGGTCGACGGTTGGACTCGATGATCTTAGAGGTCTTTTCCAACCTTAATGATTCTATGATTCTATCTCATTGATCCAGACCTTGACCCTGATCCACGGACTTGAATTCCTGGCTAGAGCTTTGATCTGCCTCATCACTGCAGACTCTTCTGGCAATCTGGACTCCAGGCAGAGCCTGGTTACCATCAGCAGTACTGCTTTGCTCTCCTGGGTCAGATACTGTGCAAATGGGCCCTTTTCTGGCCAAGTCACTGCCTCTGCTTGCCTTGTCACTGTGCTCAGCTCCTGCATCCCCTCCAGGAGCAGCCTTCCCCCGCTGCTGCTGGACACTAGATACCGGGTGTAACAAAATGGTCTGATGCTCAAGCATGGTGTGTGGGCAAGTAGTAATCACTGCTACCTCCTCAGGTGCACCAGCAACCACTCATCCAGGCATCTTACAAAGGGCAGCCACACCCCTCCTCTAAATGTTAAGTACTAGCCATCAGGAGGAGCAGGACACATGTCTTCATATATTTACAAGTTGGACTGACTAGATCAAAGTGTGATCTTCTGAAAAATACTTTATAGGATTTTATCTTTCATGTAGTTTCTCCTTGGAACAATAACGATGAGGAACAAGCTTCACAAAAATAAACCTACTGGCGTTTAAGGGCCAGATGCACTGACACAGTATTTCCTTGAGATTGGAAAACAAAAGTGAGCTGTAGCAGAACCAAACAACAAGCTGTTAGATGAGGAAATGAGAACATGAGAACAAATACAGAAAACACGGAGAATGAATGTCACAGGAATGAAAGATAAAGCTGCTTCCAGACAGACAGTTCTTAAAGTTCAATGCTTTATCTTGTTTTGTATTTAGAACAAATCCCACATAACACAAGAATAGGAAACAGATGGGAGAGAAGAAACAGAAAAATGTCCAGGTCTGCTAAATCAGAACTGAGGTTGGAATATGGCTGCAGACTGCGAGAGAAGCAACATACCTTGTTTTGGGGTTGGGCTGAGGCGAAGGAGATTTGCTTCCAGCTGCGAAATGCACCACTCCAGCTCATCTTGGAACGTGCCTTGGGGAGCCTTGGACATGGGATGGGGGAAGGCACAATGTTTAAAAGAAGCACAAATCTCTCACCTGCAAAATTGATTCCAAAACTGAGTTTTCTGAAGTCTTCTCCCCTCTTATGTGGGAGATCAGACTAGCAGGTCATAAACCCCTTTTCTGGCTTTACACTTGAGGTGTGTGGTGTAACAGCTCAATTTATACCATAAACCAACACAGCACAGGGTGAGACACAAGCCCTGCAATACTCCCTATTTGGAGGGCACCAAATGAGCCCTCTTCATTACAAAAATTAGAGACAATAAACTCTTACTAGCTGTAAGCCACCCACTCCTGGCAAGCCAAGACTTCCCACAGATTGTTTTCTTCCTTTTTTCTCCTCCTTCCTTTTTAAAGGCCCCAAATGGAAGATTTCTCATTTTTCCTGAAGCTTATTCTATAGCATAATACGTCTCCACAGCAGGAAACTTCTCTCCAGCACAGCTCTGGCAACACACAGAATTTCTCTTTAAACACAAGTCCTTTGCTGTATTTTTACCCTGCATGCCTCCTGCTAAGCAGTTGCAAAGCAAGGCTTAGAAGCCTGCCTGTGGACAAGAAAGTCGTTACAACGCGTTAGGAAATGAAAAAAATCTTGCCTTAGCAGAGTAACGAGGTGACCAGGAATTGGGAAAGGCAGGCACAAGGGCCAGGGAAGCCCTTTAAAGAAAACCTCCCGGGAGCCGGGGGCACTGCTGCGGGCTGGAGAAGAGCCTGGGCCCGGACAAAGGTGCCTCGGCAAAGGGCCGGTGGAGAAGAGGGTGCCTCAGGACAGAAGCAAGGGGCAGAGAGGGGCCGAGCAAAGCTCTTACCCGCTCCATGCTGGGCAGTCTCCGCGCCGCCACGGGCAGGAAACCGGGCCCCTCCGCCGCCGCCCACCTCCGGTCTCGGAACAGCGTGTGAGCTCCCGAG